GGACCGATTTCGGTCCGGATAGTATATATATACGGACCGATTATACGTCGGTCTGTATATTATACTTATTCGTACTAGGTTTTTTCAGATCAACTATAAGGACCAATATCGGTCCGTATATATATGTTCAGACCGATTGGTAATATCTCCGGACCGATTGTTTGGTCTGAATATACCATTCTTGCAGTAGTGAATTATTTATTTGTGTTTTAACATTAAAACTCGAAGTATTGTAAAGTTTAGCATTTTCTTCTATCTTATCCTCTAGAACCACTAGATCTATACGCAATAGAAACTTCTTATTAATATTTATTTCTTAATATGTACAAAAAATTATTTATTAGTAATTATTTATTAAAATACTAAACATAATTATTAATTGTTTGTATAGAAATATTTAGTTGTTTAATTGTAATCATAGTGTTGAATCTAATATTATTGGAAAAATGTTGAGAAATTCATATTGTATTTATATTTTAAGTATTTATTTTAAATTGAAGTTATTAAATATATTTTGCATTAATTGTAATTGTTATTTGTTTAATATGTTTTATTTGTTTTGACTTGTAGAAATATATTAGAAATTATTTTACATGTTAATTTCAATCTATTGTTTATAAGTTAGTTCCGTTAAGATTTTTTTTTTTTTTGGCCCTGGCATTTTCAAGTTCAATTACTTTTCCAATTTGTATTTAAGGACAAGATTTGTTTCCCGCAATGTGATAATGTTTTTTTAAGGTCTTGTTTATACCATTAGCCCATTTACCCAACAAACAAATGGAGTCAATTACATTTTTTGCATTAGTTAATGTTGGCTCAACTATGTATAAATCATAAACCATAAACTCATTTGCTAAAGGTTATTAATTTTAACATTGGGTTGTATGTCATTTAATATCTTATATTGTTTGGATTTGACCTATGATTTTGATGATTATAAAACACATTTGAGTGATTAATTAGTTCATTTAAGTGATTAATTAGTTCATTTAAGTGTGTAGTTAAACTTCTAAAAGATTGCAAAAGTAAGTGAACTTGGATTGCACTAAAAAGGACCAAAAAGGCTGAAAATGTGAAAAGAGTCAGCTTAAGAAAATTTGCAACCGGCTCTGGAAGGTAAAATTGTAGAGAGCCAACTCTAGAAGCTACAATCGGCTTTACGGGTGAAAATTTCAAGTTAGTTGTTTGGCGCGCATGGAAAATAGACACAAAACTAGCTCTGACTTTGTAGCCGGCTATGAGGGCAAATTAAATGCATAGTGGTCAAGTTATTTGAAGATTTCTTTAATATTTTAAAGTCGAATTTCCAAAGTCAGCTTTACATTTTGCAACCGACTCTCAAGGAAAACAAAATGTGCAGGAAACCCGCAAAGCTGGCTTTACATCTTGCAGCCGGTTCTTCGAAAAAAAAGAATGTGTAAGAAACTCGCAAAGTTGGCTGTAGAGCCGGCTCTAAAGGTGTAAGCCTGCTGTGCTGACAATTCTGCAACTCAAATTATGCGTCCTTTAGAGCATTTAATGACCCCCAACGACTAGTAAAAACTATTTTTGAGTAAGGGGCTATAAATATGGTTGGTAGCAGATCTGGAACAAGTTTGAAGAGCATTATATTGAATATCTCTACTTACCTACTTGTGCTTTAACTTGAGTTTTTGATCTTTGAGAGATCTTTACTTGTAATCCTCTTCTTGTTCTATTTGTGAGTGATCTTGGGGGTGTGATTATTCCTTCAAGAGTGATTTGTAGACAAGATTGCTTGGGTTTATCTTGTAAAGGGGTGAGATTTGAGAGAAATACTCATCTTCTTATAAAAGAATTGAGTGGCTCCTTTAAGCCACCCTTGTTCTTGATAGTGGAGAATGTGGAGGAAATCCTTGGTGAGTGAAGCCAAGGTAGAGGACTAGGCTCCAAGTGGTTGGACCGAACCTTTATAAAATCATTGAGCAAGCTCTTCTTCCTTACTCTCTTTAATTCTTTGTTTTGTGGTTGCAAAAAGGAGGAAATTTTTGAACTCCAATTCACCCCCCTCTTGGAGTGCATTGAGCCAACAATTGGTATAAGAGCAAGGGCTCCAATTTGAAGGTTTAACAACCTAGGAGTTGATCAAGGATGGCTCAATTTCAAGCTTCTTTACCACTTGAAGGTTTGTCTACCACTAAGCCTTCTTTCTTTGATGGCACTAATTATACTTATTAGAAGAATAGAATGAGGATCTACATGCTTGCAAATGAGCCCAAGGCATGGATTGTGACTTTAAAAGGTCTATATGTGCCCTATGGAAGTTGTTGGAGAAAGTGAGGTGCCAAAGGAAGAAGTTGAATGGAATGATGAAGACTTTGGGAAGATCATGATCAACAACAAAGCAATCAACATGCTTCAATGTGCTGTCAATCTGTAATATCCCAAATTTTCGGGAATATATAAGTGTAAGTTAGGGACTTGATTGTGAGAAAAGATTGTTTTGGGGCCTAATGTGAATATTCTGAAAGCTGAGGGACTTAAAAGTGGAAGAGTTTTGGATAAGGATCAACTTCTTTTCTTTTTCTCTTTTTCTTTCTTTCTTTTTTCCTTCCCAGCCCGCGTGTTCTGCTCTTCCCGACCCTCCCTGCTGCAGCCCGAAAGAAGAAAAAAAAAAGGGAAACCCAGCCATGCCTTGGAAAATTGGTAAGGAAGCTTGGTATTTTCCCCTTCCTTTCTTGTTCTAGAACACACCTAGAACCCAGAAATCTTCCCCCCCTGCTGGAAAAGCCGGATATGCCCTGCTCTGCTTTGTCCTTCCGCTGGCTGCTCTTGATTATGGGTGATTTCTGGGCATTTTTTCGGTAAGAACAACCATGATTTCATCCTTTTAGCTTTGCTTTAAGTTGGGTGTGCCTTAATTTCCTCTTGGTTCTCCAATTTTTGGGTAGATTGCATGATTCTTCCCTGCACTGCCGCCGGCTTTCCCCCTCTACTAGGTCTGGTTTTTGCTTGCAATTTCTGGTATGTGACAGCCATTTAAGGCTTAAACTATCCATTTAAAGTTGCTGCTTTGTGATGTCCGAATTTGGCTAAAATGGGGGATAATTCCGGTAACTTTAGGATAAGATTTAAGCATTAATTGAAGTGGGATTTATGTGATTGAGTGTTAATGGATTGCTATGTGATTGTTGGAGAGAAAACCCGTGAATTAGCTAGTGGTTTGGCCAATTTTGGAGAGTGCAGTTACTGTTCACGTCGTGGTACTATTCATGGGTACTGTTCACGACACTGTTCACAGAACACTGTTCACACCCCAAGGGCCAATAATTAACGGGGATTTAAATGATTAGTTTGTGATATAAGAACGAATTTGGAGATATTTGATCATGTGGAGAGTGATAGAAATAGCATTGTAATTAGGAATGATCCTAATGATGATTTTAGCTTGAATTTGTGATAGTCCGGTATTAATTCTGAGGTGTTTTGATTAGGTTCCTGATCGTTCTGTCAGTTTAGTACCTGAATTGAGTGCTCAGTTTTGCGGAGTGAGGTAAGTAAATTTATGGTAATGCCCGTACTGTTTTAAAAGCATGTTTTGATTTGTTTTTGAAGTGGTGGCGGGACTAAACCCGTTTTACACAAGTATGACTGATTTGAAGTGAAATGTTTTATGCTTTTCACTAAATTAAGCATGCCTACTTGAAATTTAAGTGATTGTCCCGATGATTTGAAAGTGATTGTGAATTGTGATTTTCCTGTTAACTTCTGCCTGTTTTGTCTCCGATGTGGTCATGTTACTCGTGTGCCCGCCAGTGGGAGGTTTATAAACGCTGGCCGTGACCTATAAAGGAAACGTCTATTTCGTGCCCGTACTGTGTCCGTTTTTCGTGATTGCACATGTTGGCATGCTATAAGTTTAATTAAGGGCAATCCATATTTACTTACTGAGTTTATCTCATAGTTTTTCCTTGTCCACCATTTCAGGAAGTGAAACCGAGGACGGGGAAACCACGGGAAGTGACGAGTTAGAAAGCTAGCCATTTCGAGATTGATAGAGATTCTAGAAATCATGATCTTGTAAGCTAGAGTGTACTTGGAGATTTTATGATATTAGAGAGAATTTTTAATATTTGATCTTCAGATTTTGGTGGTATCAGAGTTTAGTGTGATAAGTTCCGAGCCTTGTGCATTTGTGGGACCCTCTCACGAGTGCACGGCGTCTGTTGCGTCTCGAAATTGGGTTTTGGGGTGTGACACAATCCAACGAAATTCCATGGAGTATCCAGATGTGATACGGCCAAGGAGATGTGGGACATGTTGGAAGTAATACATGAAGGAACAAGTCAAGTGAAGGAGTAAAAAATCAATAGATACACTCACATATATGAGGTTTTCAAGATGAAACCAAAGGAGAGCATTCAAGATATGTATGCAAGATTGAATGATATAGTCACCAATCTCAAGGGTCTTGGTGAAGTGTATCCTCCTCAAGAAGTGGTGAGGAAGGTTCTTAGAAGCTTGCCCAATAATTGGGAAGCCAAGAAGACCACAATTGAAGAGTTTAAGGATCTCAACACTTTTGAGCTTGAAGATCTCATTGGAAAATTGATGACATATGAAATAGAAGTTCAAGTTGATGGTGGAGTTGAAGTAGTTGAGAAGAAGAAGAAGGATGTTGCATTCAAGGCTACAACCAAAAGAAAAACAATGATGATGAGACTAGCTCAATGGAAAGTGAAAGCTTCTTGGAGAAAGGTGTTGCAAATCTTTGTTTCATGGCTCAAGAGGATAACAACAATGATGAGAAGGTGAACTCTAACTGTTCTAGTTCAATTAATGAAAGTTCATTTGCGTTATGATGATTTATGCAAAGTTCTTGATTGCTTTATGAATGATATTAAGAAACTAGGGAATGAGAATCTAGCACTTACTAAATCCATCTCTTTACTTAAAGATGAGCTTAAATCTCTTTCAAAACAAAATGAGGTTTTAGTTAAAGAGAATGCTTCCTTAAATGTTGAGATTGCTTTTTTAAAGAATGAAGAATCTAGTAGTGCTTTGAAAAAGGAAAATGAGAACATGACAAAGAAAGTTTGTGATCTTGAGAATCTGATTTCCAAATTTACCCTAAGTAAAGAAAAATTTGATTCTATTTTGAATTCTCAAAGAAGTGTTTATAATGAAAGGGGCATAGGATTTGAGTATTCTAAAGAGCAAAGAACTTTCAATAATTTCTTTGTAAGAGCAAGTCAATCTTCTAATTCTAAAGTTACTTGCTTCTGTTGTGGTGCAAAGGGACACTTTGCTTATATGTGTCCTTTGAAGAGATTGATAGCTTAAGGCAAAGTGAAGCAAATTTGGGTTCCAAAAGGAACCTTAAGTACTAACTCCCAAACGACCCAAGCAAATTTGGGTACCAAAGATCAAAACTTAATTTAGTTTTGTAGGTAAAGTTGATGGCAAAGTCATAAGAAAAGCAAAGTTGACCTTGATAAAAACTTATGCCTCAACAAGAATGTTGGAATGAAAGTGTAAAGAAAAATTTGCTTTTGAATACTCCGCTCATGTGCTTAAATTGGTTTTATTTATCTTATAGCATTTATTCATTGAGTATAATTACATTAGCATGACCATTAATTATTAGTTCATGTGTGCTCACTCTTTAAATAATACATATGCTTGTTGAGTATGATTCCATATGTGTCTTTTCTAGTGTTGATACAACCTTGTTGATTGCTATAAATATTACTTGTATCATATTTACATACTTGACATATGTGAATGATTAGATTGATTATTTATCATATCTAGTTCATAATGAGCTCTTCATGGTATAAGTAATTTTTCATGTCATATGTGTCATTTTGAAGATGGTTGATGATTTGATTTAGATGAGTATTTTAATAACTTGTTTTACTTTACATGGTTTATCACATTCTAATTTACTTGTCTCATTGTTTTCATGAGTTTGATGGTAGCACTTGAAAGTTAAACTTGATCTTAAGAAGAATCCTACACTTGGAAGGATTTGTATGTTTTCTTTATGATGGATAATTTTGATGATATTTGATTATGTGCAAATATATGTCATGCACTTGAAGGCTTGCATAGTCATGGCTGATTTCAATGAATAAGATTTTTTATATTTATTATCATATGATATGATGCATATAAAAAAGAGTAATAGTGTTGAATCTATTCATGTGGTATTCAATGAGATGAACCCCATTTGCTTTAGAAAGAGTTGTGAAATTGTGATGTAGATGTTATTGGGTAACAAAGTTAAAAATGAACATTGAAGGCAATAGCATCACACAACCTCCATGTGAAGCAAGTGAGAAGAACAAGATCGAGGAGATGCAACAAGCACAAAAACAAAGATCATAATTCTATCCAAGAAAGAGATCCTATAAAGGTAATGTGATAAATGATACATCTCCAGGGTAAGAAATATACATGTTGTATATAATGATGGAATTAACATTGTTTTTGGTGCTACTAATGAGTTTTGTTGTAAAGAATTTTCCAAAGCAATGTTAAGTAAACTTGAGATGATTAAATGTATTGGAATTTCAAATGAAATTATCCCAAAGATGAGATCTTCTCCAATCAAAGGGAACATACAAAGGAGATGCATAAGCAATGGTCTCTCCATTAAGGTATTCAATTGCTTTAACAATAATGGAGGTAAACCTATTAATTTCAAACTCTTTATAAGATGATAGATGTATATATTGCTATACCTTGAGTGCATATAACTTTTGTGCTTTTCATGTATCTTTTATTGATCTTTATAACTTAAATGATAGAAGGTTATACATTCTTGGTATGATTTTCATGAGATTGCTATATAAGTATGTTCATGCTTTCATGAGTTATTTTATTAAGGTGAAGCTCTTTTGTTTGCTCTTCATATGTTCTTCAAACTTTTTTGTTGGATTACAAAAAGGAGAGAAAGAATCTTTTGACCTTCATAGTTACTTGGAATAAGATATCTTTGTTTACTACAAAGCCTTTTGATCGTGATAGATTTTTAATATTTGACCCTTTTTTCTCTCCTCACATTCAAGATTTGATTCTTTCCCAAATTTTGCCCTCATTATCTATGCACATTTCTTAGCTTGTTATCATGAATTGTGGATTTTAATTGTATATGACTGTATAGTTGCCTATGATTTTGATGATTATGATCTTAAGTGCTTTCATTGAGGGGGAGCAATTTGTGGATATTATGCTCAAATTAACTATTTTTGATATGCATGAATTAAGGGGGAGTTTATTGAT